CTGAAGACAGCGCGACTTCCGCCGGGCGGCCCCGATCCCGCCACCCACCCTCCCCTTGCTTGCACCTCACCTGCCTTCACGGCCGCACGGTCTCCCAAGCGACCGAAGATACCAAGCTTCCTGCGGTCGCGGAAGTGGAGCGCCGCGCACCGGAAGTCCCGCCCCGGCGGCGCGGAGCACCACGGGAAGGCTGCGGCTGATTGGCGGAAGTGTGGGGTGCGCAGTACCCCGCTGAGCTCGCTCCTGGTAGCCCGTGGGGTTTGCGTGACGGCCGGAGGGAGGGCTTCCCGCCGGCCCGAGTCCCCTCTCTACGTGTTCACACCTTCGTGCCTCCGGACGTCCAGCCTGCAGAGCCGTCGGGCCGGCAGTTCGTGCCTTTGAGCTTGCCAGCGTGGACTGAGGACACCCCAGCGCTGCCTGCGCGGGGTCGGGCCTCTTTTCAGGACCTGATGCATGGAAGATGAGCCGGCTGGAAAACTGTACTCGGTCGGGGCAGGAGCCTGTCGGGTGAAATGAGGTGGGCTTTTGGTGACAAAGAGCTAGAGCCACCAAAAGGTGAGGCCTGGTGAGGGCCCCGCAGGAGCCTGGGACTGGCGAGAGAGTGTGAATGTCGGAAGCTGGAAGCTGTTGGTTCTTTGGGTAAGAGCTATTTTATCGCCTGCACTGTACCAGGTCTTGCTTGTGTAGGGCTCAAAACCCAGAGGTACGGATTAAACGTCACCATAGATTGTGCTTCAGAGTTTTTGCCTTGGAACACTTTAAACATACCTAGGGAAAAATATGCAAACGTCTGTGTATCCACCCCCACCTCACCCGCTGACATTGCAGCAAGTGTTGGGTGCATTAACTGAGGGCTGCCACCCTGCTTTGGGTCCAGTGGGTGAAGGGGACATCAGCCTGTCCCTCCACCCCATAAAATACAGTCAAGCAGGGCCTCAAGGTGGATCTGTGACTCAGGCTTCCCCCGGGAGCCCCAGCCCTTCAGAGGCTTCCCAGAGCTACTGTGCACCTAGGAGAACCTTCTAGCACTGTCCTGTTACACTGCCCTGTCTGGTCCCTCTGATCCCTGTACACCAACGGCAGCAGCAATGAGGGGTGGAAGAGCAGGATGGAGCAGTCACTCCAGTGACTAGCACTTTCAATGCCTTGTCTGAAAATCCAGCCACATGAGCTCTGGGAATGACTCAGTGCTAGAATCTTATCTGTCCAACCTCAAAATGTACAGCTATGTGGCTCACATACCATGCTACAATGTGCTGGGGGAGGGGTGGAGAGCTGCCAGCTTATTAAGTCATAAGCAATGACCAGAACGTGCAAAACATGCTGTAGCATCAGAGGACAGCCAGTGTGTTTTTTGTGCATGAAGAATTAGTCAAGGGCTGGGGTTGTGGCTCAGTGGTAAGGCACTTGCCCGGCCTGTGTGAGGCACTGGGTTTGTTCCCCAGCATCACACAAAAAAACTAAACAAACAAAATGAAGGTATTTAAAAAAAAAAAAGAATTGGTCAAGTCAGAATGAAAACACAGTGTATGTGAACTTCAGAATTTATTTAAACAGGAAACCTGTAGGTTTGAAAAGAGGGGAAAAGGAAGGTAAAAAATTGCATCTCCAGGAAAACAGCCCAAAAGGCACAGGGTGCCTGTTGTTCCTCCCAAACAGTAAAGCAGGTATGAGGAGCCCAAAGACCTCATGCCTACCCAATGAAGCTCTGCACACACTTTAGACTACCGAACTCTAAGCTTCACTGTACAAAACACACTTTGAAATGTATATCGAAATCACTAGCCAAAATAGCTTTTCAAAGCTGAAGGCTCAAAGCCCAAGTTTAGACACCTTCACAGTGTGGAATGTCTGCAACCTTGTGTCCCTGTAGGAGGAATAGCAGCATCCACCAAGTGGTGCCTCTGTATTTGGGCCACTGACCACAGAAACCACCCCAGGAAGGCTGATAGGCGCTGAGTGACAGCAAAAAGGCACATGTCCCTGTTCAAGCTGCTCATTCCTGGGTGGTTCTTAGTGTTCTTTCTACTTACGTAATCAAGATAATCAACTGAACTTATCAATGTTCTGGGATGAAAATGGAAGAGCACTTATTACAGAACTTTTGTTTTCATATTTAGTAATTTAAAAACTCACTGGATTTTATAAAAATTTCTTCCAACAGGTTACTGAATCTATAAAACAGAATTTCACTAAGGAGGACTGCACATAAACCACAAAAGCAACTCATGGACAAGAGCTGCTCTTATTGCAGGTGGCCAATAACACTGTTTTAGGTCATGAAATTAGTATCTCATGATAAATATTCTGAGTGAAGACTGCATAGTTTGGGGCACAATTGCACATTCAGATGAAGCACTGCTGATCAGGGCACACGGAGCTGGAAGCATCCAGAGGTCCTTAAGACTTCTCCTCCTCATCTTTAATTTCGGAAATTCTGTCTATAGATTTAAGGATTTCAGCCACAAAATTCAATGTTTCAGCTCCAGAAACCAGCTGC